GTTGTACTAACGAAAGTTGACTAATCCGAGCGATAAGGTTTCATAAAAAACCTTCGCATGAGCAAGTCACTTGTGTTCAACTAATTCTTAATTAGAGCTAAAATAGAAAAAGTATATATATGCATACCTAAATATTAACATTAGTTAATTAGTTAGTTATTAATTAGTTTATTATTAGCATATCTATACATAATATTTTCAGAGGAAATCCGAACAAACCTTACGATCATCAAGAAGGATTTCATGTTTCTGGAAAGCTTATGTAGACGAAGAGTTGGAATGGCCAGATGTTCCGGGCTTCAATGATGTTACTATAAAATTCGCCGGAATATGTAAACAACTCTCAATAAGACTACTACGTGCGCTTAGAAAAGGAATGAAACTAAAGGTGAGAAGAATTCGTAAAAGTGTGTGAGAAAGTATATATGCTTTAGCGAGTTAATTTTTTGCCCTGTTATAATATTGAATTTTGATTGCAACAATTTGGGTTGGTTTATCAAATATGTTGTCTAAGCCCTTTATTCTTTAATCATATGAATACTCCAAACCTATGGAATTATTTACACAAATGAAAACTAATGCGCAAAGATTTTTTAATAAATGTAGAATGTTGTTCCTACATTCGTAATTTAGTTCTCAAAACTAAGATTCAGTTGATGGGCAGCAATGCACACAGGGCACATATTGAATACAGTTACCTCGGTGATAACGAAAATTATGTCTACGAGCTTACTCAGTCAGGAAAAATACAATGTGAAATTACGACGTCATAAAACAATGACTATGAATTACCAATATACACAATATCTCGCAACTTATAACAATGCCTCTGATCGTATCCAGTATCCAGTATTATCTATTTTATACTCTATATATCCTAATATACACCACTTGATTTAAAGGATCCTCGCATATTGGAAAAAAGCCACAAGTATTTGAATATTGCAGATAATCACACATCATTGAGATTAATCTATTAAGAGGAATTGGCCCGACGGAAACATTTTTGCCCAATCAGGCAAGAGTTGGAGAACATTCCGATTGGGGTACGATAACGTTGTTATTTCAAGATGATGTTGGAGGTCTTCAGGTAATATCCTAGAATATTACAACGAGAATATCGGTCGGAGACCGAAGACTTATCGATCGAAACTAAGGTTTCGATTCATGACTCTATAGTGACACCGCGTGTCTCATCACTAATTGATTAATAACTCGCTAATTATACGACATAATTCATCCAAAATCAATAGGCTTCTGGTCCGAGATATGATGAATGCACATGCAATTTGGAGCAGATTCAACCTCTCCTTCGTGAGTTATCGCGTGCATCTAACAGACAGACAGACAAACAGACAAATACCTATCAACATACTTACCGATTTAAATATCGATAAGTAATAAAGCTGGAAATTCGGTAAGTTGGTGTTTTGTCGAATGCGACAACGGAATGAAAGAGGTATCCCAATTTGAGTGAAAGTACACAAACTTACATCAACGATGGTCGCGAATCGGTACCGGCCGTTTGCTGAAATTATGGGCGAACAAGCATTTCGATGGCAGACAAGGATTCTGTTTCCATATGTCATAAAAATTGTTCTCTTTTGTTGGAATATTGCGACAAAATTTCGGATGAAACATGGACTCCCATAGGGTTCAGAAAAAATATGAAAAAATGAATGTAACAGACTTTTGGCAGCTTAATTAAACGATCTACAAACACTGGAATGTTGATTTCCCATTCGTTTATTAATTGTTCAGAAAATAGTAGATTCACATTAACTATAACAACGAGAATATCGGTCAGAGACCGAAGACTTATCGATCGAAAGTTAGGGGATCCCAAAACAGCGCTCTTACTCCATAGTGACACCTTGTGTCCCATGACTAATCAATAAATAACTCGCTAATCATACTACATAATTCATCCAAAATCAATAGGCATATGATGAATGCATATGCAAAATATGGAGCAGATTCAATCTCCCTTTCGTGAGATATCGCGTGCATTTTCTAACAGACAAACAGACAGACAAACAAATACCTATCAACATACTTACCGAATAAAATCGATAAGTAACAAGAAGTTTACAAAACGAACATTGGTTCTAATCAACACTAGTTATTACTATACAATTCATGTATACTTGAAGTCATAGCTGCTATTTCACTTTATAGATAATATCAACTACGCTGGTTTTCCACCTCTCAGATTAAGCCACACCAATTAGATTAGCAAATGCGTTCATTGTTGAATTTATCGTATAAATGGATGAGAATTATGAAGCGTATATATTGCGTCTATGGTCATCGCACTTTTACTGCTTGCAGTCGGTAATGGACCTTTCCCCGACCTTTGATCCCCGAAAATATCTCCCTATACTTTACCATTGCAAAATTCTTGAGGCTTATTTTAATAGTGGTTTCGCGAGTTGACCCCTGTAAAATGGGGTGTTTGTTTCAAACCATCATTATGATTCATCGCGTACAATAATCTGTGTTTTAGAAGTACCGGTAAGGAATTATAGCCTAGTCTATCACAGCTATTTCTACTTAAATTTATTATTACTGTGAATAAATTGAAACTTCTAAAAAGACATAGTGAGCATTGAATTATCTGATTTATATTTACATTTCCGAAACACAACTAAAAACTGGCGAAAAGAGTTCAGAAACGCGAAAATGAGGTAATGTTTACAACCACGCCTGAAAATCTGTCTGAGTGAGAATAGTGTCTGAGCGGATTCGAAAAAGGGGCATTGTTACGTCAGTTTTTGCATCTTGCTGATTGGCCAATGTCACGAAGTAAATAAGGAAGTCGAAGGTCGGGGAAAGGTCCATAGAGGAAGTCATTGATTACAAGCTGCATCATATCCTTCCTTTTATCGGCGTCGAAAACTTAAATAAGTCGCTTTTCTCTTTGATTACTGGACCAATTGCTCTGAAGTTTTCAGTGGTTAAAGAAGAAGTGATTAAAATTTTTTTGAGAAGGCTATTACTTTCAATTATTTCAAATATTATTGATAGCACTGTGGGATTCGTTTTTTTGACACGTAATGGATTTGTTTTTATGCTGGCACTCTTCTTGCTCTTTTGATCACGTGCTCGTCGAACGTCGGTGGTGTGTAACGAAATGCTTGCTTTGCTAAGTCGTAAGTGTCAAGGGTAAGGTATCACTTGTGTTCAACCAATTCTTAATTAGAGCTAAAATAGAAAAAGTTTATATATGCATACCTAAATATTAACATTAGTTAATTAGTTAGTTATTAATTAGTTTATTATTAGCCTATTTATACATAATATTTTCAGAGGAAATCCGAACAGACCTGCTCCGGAAATCCGGACTGCTTTGCTCTGATTAACGTATCCATGTGTCCATATATTTGAGTGTTGCTCTCTCGTTATTTTAATTATCTTGTGTCGAACGCTGGCGGCAGCGTCGTTTGCAGAAGACGGTTATCGGCACCGTAACAAAGTGTTTACCGAATGTCAGGTATGAAAAAGACGTTGCATATGGGCTCTCTATCTCTATTTATACATAATATTTTCAGAGGAAATCCGAACAGACCTGCTCCGGAAATCCGGACTGCTTTGCTCTGATTAACGTATCCATGTGTCCATATATTTGAGTGTTGCTCTCTCGGTATTTTAATTATCTTGTGTCGAACGCTGGCGGCAGCGTCGTTTGCAGAAGACGGTTATCGGCACCGTAACAAAGTGTTTACCGAATGTCGGGTATGAAAAAGACGTTGCATATGGGCTCTCTATCTCTAAACTTCACTTGATATTATGAAAGTTAGATCTCATTGCGGGATGGATGTGTACAAACATTGCGACAAACGCATTGTTGGACTAGTAGACTGCATGTCGAAAGTCAAGTTGTGTCTGCATTCTTATTTTCTGATATATTCTAATTCTAATATTTGATTTCCCTATAGGGCCTCGAAGATTAGTTATGAAGTATATAGTCGGAGTCGAAGCAGAAATTTATTTTTTATATTTCAAAAGTGTGTTTGTTATTACGTCAGCGTGTGCAGATGCACGTATGAGCATTGTGTTCTACGGGGGTAGGCAACTAAATAAAAAAAAGCAATTTTATTAAGTTTTGTCCATGGGAATGGCAATCAATTTCTGCCCAAGCAAGAAATATTGTCCAAGGTTTGCGCATATTAGGCACAACCAGCGATTTACCAATAGATAAAACAAGCAGTAAGGTTAGCAGAAATTGAATGAGTCTAATGTTCAGCAGGTATATCTCAACGATCTGTGTCGAGCTTTACCTAAACTAAGTTGCCGAGTGTTGGCGCTCAATTGTTCCGACAAGTTATCAAGATGTTATTAAGTTTAAATTCAGGCAATCAACTCCTCAAAATTAGCTTGGGAAGTGCAGTAATTGTATTGACATATTAGTGTACGCATGGCGAGTAGAATTGTTCAGTTCAAATTTACATTTATTTCTTTTGGTATTTACTTTTAAATGACTCCCACATCCTTTTTGGAGTACGGTAGACGTGAAAAGCGTTCAATGCAACATACACGACGTTTAGAATACGATTCCCTCTTATTCAGATGAGTCCCGATATCCACCCGGCAGTCACCAGGACCAATAACAAAATCACCAGCCTTTCAATTGTTGTTTTGTAACAAACAGAAAAAGTCAATATAACGATCTACGGAATTGAATCATAAAGTTGAATAACCAAGCCGAGTCCCATAACACACAAGACACGGAGTTTATATAGAAAAGATCGACACGATCCTTATTATATCTCGTGAACCAATACACGGTGACATGTTATATAAACGATAATTCTGTTTTGGGCAATATAGGTTTTGCCTTAATTAGTACGAACGTGTTATAACTTACAGCGACTTGTTATATAACTATATGTGATTTTTGCGAATTAGAAGACATTTTTGAACAGTTGGGATTTTTCAGGGTCATCATTTTTTCTTAGCGGTTAAACATTTTGTTAAAATTATTAATATTCACTACTCTTTTGAAGTTATATATAGAAAGTTACTGCCTACGGGGTTTCGTGTCAGATAAATATAAATCGTAGCCTGTGAAACAAGATGAATGTGCCGGTAATTAACTTCGCTAAATGCGGTCTCGATGTTGATGAATCGGATTTAAATGAAACAACATTACAACAAGTTGGAACTGAACTTTATCATGCGTTTTCATCATCTGGATTTGCATATCTGGCAGGTGCTGGTATATCGAGGTATGCGTTACCATTTTCATCATACGAAATATTGCATTTATAATTAGAATACCGCAAGAAACAAAACTTCGTCGCAAGTTCTGTAAAATGCTGATGATCATATGTATTGCGGTTTCGCAATGAATTATAACCTGCAGTACAGGCATTGTGGACTATCTTCTTAGATACAGGATATCTAAACCATCTATCCGTCAACGCGCAACTTGTGTTACGTTGTGCAGCATACATTTCAATTTTTGAAGTGGTGTATATCTATTGAATTATCGGAAACTAATGCAATGTTTTTATAAACATGGATTGTTGATACAACATTAACGTTGAATTGAATGCGATATGAAATTGTATATTATGTGTGCTTTTATATATTGTATATATATGTGGTGTCCCTTGCATTCGATATTGTTATTATCAATTTTGTTTACAATGGAAGACTTGTGAATGTTTCTATTAAAATAAAACGACTCGTGAAATCTCCACTACACACTGTTGATAAATAAGATTAATATTGGTAAATCAGTTATTCAGTAATTACTCCTTTATTTGATTCAACGATAAGAATTTTTATTCTCCCCGAATTATAATTAATATATACAACATATATTCCAATCGACTAATGTACCTTACAAAACCAGCACAACCAATTATCGGTGATCGGATGTAAAAATATATTTACAGTGAAAACGTGAAGAAAGTAATTGATGTCTCTGGAAGATTTTTTAGCCTAAGTCGAGAATATAAAGAATCTTTTGCTAAGTCCGATGTTAATTTCGGTTATGACAAAATAGGTTTGACAAGGTATGAACCCAAAATGATATTTTTTTTTGTTCTATGTTAATGTTATAAATTATGGGATATGGTTCATAGCAGGTATGGTCATAATAATATAAATTAGCATTAAAACTGCAGTTTCACTGAAGTTGTGCTAACGAAAGTTGACTAAGCCGAGCGAGAAAGTTTCATTACTAACTCCGCATGAGCTAGCCACTTGTATTCAACTAATTCTTAATTAGAGCTAAAATATGAAAAATTGCATACATAAATAATAACATTAGGTAATTAGTTAATTATTAGCATATTTATACATATCATGTTCAGAGGTAATCCGAACCGACCTTACGATCATCAGGAAGGGTTTCATGTTTCTGGAAAAGCTTATGTAGACGAAGAATTGGAATGGCCAGATGTTCCGGGCTTCAATGATGTTACCATGAAATTCGCCGGAATATGTAAACAACTCTCAATAAGACTACTACGTGCTCTTGGAAAGGGCATGAAACTAAAGGTGAGGAAGAATTCGTAAAAGTATATGAGAAAGTATATATACCGGTATATGCTTTAGCAAGTTTATTTTTTGGCCTGTTCCAATATTGGATTTTAACTGCAACAATTTGGGTTGGTTAATCAAGTAAGTTGCCTGAGCCCTTTATTCTTTAATCATAGAATGCTCCAAACCTATGGAATTATTTATACAAAGGAAAACTAATGCACAAAGATTTTTTAATAAATGTAGAATGTTGTTCCTACATTCGTAATTTAGTTCTCAAAACTAAGATTCAGTTGATGGGCAGCAACGCACACAGGGCACATATTGAACACAGTTATCTCGGTGGTAACGAAAATTATGTCTACGAATTTATTCAGTCAGGAAAAATACAATTTGAAATTACGACGTCATAGAACAATGACTATGAATTTCCAATATACCGGTACACAATATCTCACAACCTATATCAATGTCTCTGATCTTATCCAGTATTATCTATTTTATACTTTATATATCCTAACATACCACACTTGATTTATTAAAGGATCCTCGCATATTGGAAAAAAGCCACAAGTATTTAAATAATGCAGATAATCACACATCATTGAGATTGATTTATTATGGAGGAATTGACCCGACGGAAACAATTTTGCCAAATCAGGCAAGAGTTGGAGAACATTCCGATTGGGGAACGATAACGTTGTTATTTCAAGATGATGTCGGAGGTCTTCAGGTAATATCCTAGAATATTACATCGAAGATGGGAATTCGGTATGTTGGTGTTTTGTCGAGTGCGACAACGGAATGAAAGAGGTATCCCAATTTGAGTGAAAGTATACAAACATACGACAACGATGGTCGCGAATCGGTACCGGTCGTTTGCTGAAATTATCGGCGAACAAGCATGACGATGGCAGACAAGAGTTGCGACGCATTTTGTTTCTATATGTCATAAAAAGTGTTCCCTTGTGTTTAAATATTGCAGCAAAATTTCGGGTGAAATATCGAGTCCCACAGGACTCAGAAAAAATGTGAAAAATATAAATGTAACAGACTTTTACCAACTTGAAAGATCTTCAGACACTGAAAATTTGATTCTCTATTCGTCCATTAATTGTTCAGAAAATAGTAATTTCATATCAACTCTAACAACAAGAGGTTTACAAACCGAACATTGGTCCTAATCAATAGTTATTACTGTACAATTCATGTATACTTGAAGTCCCATGGCTGCTATTTCACGTTATATATAATATCATTTACGCTAGCTCACCATTTCTCAGATTACGCCACATCAATTAGCTTAGCAAGTGTGTTCATTGTTGAATTTATCGTATAAACGGATGAGATTTTTGAAGCGTCGATGGTAAATGTCATCGAACTTTTCATGCTTGCAATCGGTAATAGAGGAAGTCATTGATTGCAGGCAGCAACATATCCTTCCTTTTATCGGCGTCGAGTTAGCAACCACCATATTTAAATATTCATCACTTGCATATTGCAAGCTGTTTAATATTTTTACCTTGGACTCTAATTTTCTATTTTGACTTCCAATAACCTTTAAACATTAATTGCATATCCTCCCTTTACTGAAGGTTAGACTTTGACTTTTTCCAAACATATCGAAACACTGAAATTCAAACGGAATTACGTTATATTACACTGGAATATACTAGACAAATTGAAATTAAAAGGTCGACCTACCAATTTGTTTTCTGCGTACAATGAAAATTCTGTATTTCCGTAGTATGTGAACCAAGATGGCGGACATCGAACGTAGTATGCGTACCTGGTTACGGTTAGGACATAATTTCAGGTACAAATACTACGGGAGTCACTTGGCTAGTTCCCGAACTCGTAATATATCTAAAATAAGGAAAATTGGAATAAAATTATGGCCTAACCCTACCCTGGTACACATACTACGCTCCGGTGTCCTCCAACTAGGTTCACATTCTACGGGATTACCGACAATTCTTCATATCATTATTATTTAACTTAGTTGCACGATTCTTTTGTATGATTTTTGAAGGTCAGGTCAAAAGAGGGCGACTTCATCGACGTCAAACCAATATCGGATACAATTGTTGTCAATGTTGGCGATATGTTAAGCATGTGGAGCGACTACGATCTCAAGTCTACCGTAAGTTTATTCTATGTGAAGTCATCATAGTTTATGCTTAGTCTGAGCTGTAAATATTTGTACGACGTTCAAAAAATCAATGAGCATGATTACAAACTTTTACAATGTGGCCAACTACTTACCATTATTATTTTTGACCATGAAAGTCAAGTAGTTGCATTGACAACAACAAAACGTCTTTACGAGTCTTTTATTTGCATTTAAAACTTTTGACTACTCCCGTATATGCAAGGTCTGTAATTCCGACTCTCAACATTATGAATTTATAAATACAACTCAATATAACCGCAAAAATTAAATTAATTCCGAGGTCAGGCTATGACTCTACAACTTTAGTTGCAAGTATGCAACAGGAAAAAGTTTGTCAATACTCTAGTAACTGTTTATACCCATATATGTCATAATTGAAGTATTTAAATTAGTTTGACATTATACCAATATCTGATGACCATGATAATCATTTTTCAACTACAATCATTATTTAGGTCCATCGTGTCATAATTCCGAACGCTCCAGAACTCCGAAGTAAAATCAGAAGATCAATAGCTTATTTTGTGAATGCCGATGACGAAACAGTTCTTTCGAAATTTGAATATCAATCAATGGAAAATGAATCGTCGCACGAAAAAAACGATAAAGTTGAAGAAACTATGACTGCACTTGATTTCATAAGCCACAGATATAAAGTTTTTTTCACTTGATGAAAAAAAAGAACAGAAGGTTTTGTTATATACTAAAAAAACTGTTATATCTGTATACTACGCTGTTTTCTTTTCAGTTAGTAAATTTGAACAACGAAAACTTTATAGTATATATAAACATTTGGTATAGGTCGAGGAAATCGAACAGTAAAGGTTTTGTAATTGTTTTGTAAAAACTATTGTTGCTTGCAAATCAAAATCTATGCTAAAGTCAACATTGAATTGATTGTGAATGATTTATGACCCTCTGCTTTGATAAACTTTGTGATACGTGGCAGAAGTATGTTGGATGTAACCAGTATCGAGCATCATATATTGAATAAGGTGATATCTTGGATTGTACACGGTTTTAAACAAGCACATTCATAAATTTCGCCTATATAATTTGTATAATTATTGGTTATTGCCAACTATTTTGATTCTTCAAATTTTACTTTTTAACTTTGGCATTTTTGTTTCGTAAGTATGATTGTAATCATTTTTATTGTTGACAGATATATGTACGAATAAATACTTTCATGATAAAATACACTTCTTGGGCAGAGCGAAGACGAAAACTCGACTTATTCATGGTGTTCTTCACGGATACCCGCTTCAATCTAGTTTCATGCAATATAAGTGCTTTGTTTGAAGTATATATCCAAATAGTAAAATTGCCCCCATTAGTTATTGGGGAGTCTTTGTTGATTATATTTTTGGAAAACATAATTACTTCAAAAGTTTTTCTATTTATTTTTTATTGTAGCAATTAGATAAAGCGACGTTAGATCTAGATTACAAAAATCAATGATTCCAGCCGAGTTTGAGCTGAAATGTAATGCAAGTTTTCCGTCTTCCACAGATTGTCTGGCTGAGATACTCCATGCCAGAGTTATGAGAAAGAATTTATATTTATTAATATATATGATGACGATATGATAGCTCCAAGATAGCAATAATCCGTCAGTTATGAGATATATATTTTATATTTTCACCAGCTTTATGTGGCTATGAGTTTGAAAATATACCATTGGCAATGGCAGATGTTGAGCACAAAAGGAATTAAATTTTGAAAGTGAATGTAGCTTAATTTGTGATTCATGACAATAACATGAATACTTCTCGCTCGTGTCGAACACAATAGGAACTGCTTCAAAACAAAGCCAAGTTTGTAACAAGCGAGGTGAAATCAGTACCAATTTGTTTATTCAATAAACAAAGGATTTACAATTGATTATGGAAATTTATTGCTAATTCGGTGCAGTCGATGTGTGAGAACACGGTAATTTTTCCAAGCGTAGTTTGGCTGGGATATCATGTTGATCAACTATATAGAGATGGGGGAACTCCAGAAGTATGTGCACCAAGGTGGCACAACATGAACGTAGTATTTGTGTTCCGGTTAGCGTCCAGGTTGTGCGACTAATAATCGTGTTTTGTCGATAACGATACCTCGTTTCCTTGGTTACCAGGTATTCTGTTATCAAGAGCAATTGTCAAAATGCGGTTTACTTATCTTGGAAATATCCTTTCCTAAAGTAATGTTTCTTACCCTTTGATAGCAATACGGATAATGCCTCGTTTCCATGGCAACGAGGTATTTTATGGATGGCACCATATTCAAAATTAATCAGGGGAAGCTACTGTACACGTGTGCCGCCAAGTTTCATGCTTGCATCCATAAGTGCACAATTCTATCATATTTGAGGTCTTATCCGCTGGACTAAGAGAGAGTCGGGAATTGACAGTATGCCGTTCAAATTCTTTATTAAACGATTTCTTGCCAATCTAATAATAACAAACGTAATTGCACGACCTCGCCTGACCATCGGATGTATACGAAAGCGAATACGGAACCGCCACAAAGTGCGCACTCTATGAATTTCCATGACGTCATCGCACACCAAAAACGAATCCCATAGAACCCACAAGCAAGTTTTAAAATGGATAAAAGTACTACTACCTGGCAGTGCCAGGCTGGCACTGAACGACTTGAAACTTAAATAAATCTACTCATTCATTCTTATAATCGAGAACTCAAAGGAGTTTGAGGTATGCTTGAATTTTATGGCAAGTGGAAACTTGGGCTTTTAAGCCGAAATGTGAATGCCTTCGAGTCACTTTTATAATACTTTGTTTCAGCAATTTGGAGAACAGCCAATGTTGCTTGTTATTGCCGAAGCACAGATTCTAATAAAGATTCAGCACGCTACCAGAGCAAAGCACCATTTTTACATCTAGTGCCGCTACCGGATTAAAATATCGATGCCGGTTTCAAAGTTTCGCTCGGATGAACCGCCCACTTGGTTAATATTGATTTTGGACGATTAGGAGCACTTGGAATGGGATTTCGCGCAAAGTGATGCATAAATCGGGAAGAGAATAATTAATCGAATATCTCACCACCGGAAATTTGTGATTTCCCCTCCCTAAAACGCTCCAGTGAGTTCGGAATGTTGCACGACTCAGAATAATAATGTTGAGAAACGAAGTACAAAGGTACGTTTGGAACAATTAGTTTAATGCCTTTTTCTCTCACCCCCAGTCACACTCCTGTAATTTTGACTCATTGTGGGCTTCGGAGAGGTCCTCGCAAGAATTTAAGGACAGGGGCATGAATGAAAAAGTGTTCCGAATTGTTTTAGGCGGATTTTATTTTACTTCTGACCCAGTCATGCTTCAGGGATTTTGACTAATTGCAAGCCTCTGAGAGATCTTATTAAGAATCTAAAGAACAATTATTTAAATCATATTCACGTGGAAAAAAATATCCAATCACCCTAAAAGTCTAGCTCTAGTGATTTTAGATCACATCTCGATAATGGTAATAAATAAAGATGTCATATTTGGGTTATACAAGATACTGTAATTGAAGTGAAATTTATGACAAAAAATTGTCGTCACGGTTAAGTGATCACGGACATTAGAATTGATAGAATTTGACTATCATTAGCGGTGATCAGTTTATGTCATGACGTGGTATTTAAACTACATATTAAAATAAAGGTGTGGGGGCAGCGTGTCGGACGAAATCCGTCATTCGTCCGACACAACGACCGGGTGCAGTCATGGAATCCCGAACAAATATCTGCATTGTACTTTACTAAAAAAATTTTCTTATGTTTCCCCTCGCGAGTAGCGAAGCAACCGTCCCCTGGATGGAAAAAGACAGAGAATCACCCAACACCAGGGGGCGAAAATTTTGAACGGCATTTCACTGAGACTCACTATCGATCGCTCGTTTCAGTGTTTGTTCGCGGGATCGAGCAATTGCCTTTTTGTTTTGAGGCCAACTAAATTTAGCATTTTGCACACGATTTTTGAAAAGGTTGTCTATCTTCCATTCATGTTTGCCTTTAGCCTTAACCAATCACCCGAAACTTTATACGGAATAACAACTTCAATATGTCGAACAATTGGAACTGTTATCCAGACATTCAGGGATTAACAATTATAGTAAAAAAAACTCAACCGACTTTATAAAAGGCACTACAAGTCATATTGTAGGAGTCCAGAACTATGACATGCACAAAAGGATCCGCGTTGGATCTGTTTAGTACGAATGTACCAAGATGACACCATGGCCCAATCAAATGGACCTCTTTTAATATTTCAACAACTATTTTGTATGATGAGTGAAAATAAAGATCTAAAATAAGGAAAATTAATCTCGCAGTCTAATTTTGAAACATACCACAATACCTCCCACCTGAATTGTGACATTCATCGCAAACTTTACAAAGAAAATAAGCATTCACAATAATGTATATTTTGTAATGTATGTGATGACAATCTGCAAACTTAATATCAATACTCAAAATGCATGTATTTTCACTATAAACTGAAATGGAGTTAAAAATCCGAGATTAGAAATTAAAGTACTAAACACATCTAATGTCTATATGCGATAACAACGTGTCAGTAAACCAGATTTAAAAGCATGGGATCAAAATATTTGGTACTAGATAGTAACACATATATACGAAATTATTGTTTTTAACGACAGAAAATATTTGTCAAGAAAAACACTTCGAAGAAGTATAATTAAATATACCTCAGCCCATTTACAGGGCATAGTAGTAAACAAAAATTTACCAACATTTGTAAGTACTAACTGACATCAAAACAAAACATGTTATGGGACTGCAACACACTGTAATTCTAGGTAATTTAATAACTTGTGAAAGTGAATGAGATCTGACACAAAACAACTTTTCTATAGGATTTATTTAGTGATAAGTAAATCGGAATTTTGTTTTTTTATGGACCTTGCTGACTTTGTAATACTTGCAATATTTGTAAAAGTGGTTATAATTAAGGTGCGGTACGTTCGAAATTATAAAGGGGTGTGTTTTATTAAGAACAATCTGAAGATAACCTCAATTTCTCAATATACTAAGTGTTCCTAATGTCTGGAGACGATTATCATTCGCAAGCCATTTCTACAGAAAGATGGATTGCTATCAACTAAGAAGTACACTCCACTGGGGAAAATGCATGCACCGCCGGTATTGCCGCTGATACTGCATGACAATCTTCGCCCTGAATTTGCATTACAGCTGAAGTATTCCGCGGAGGTACGTACCTGAAATTGTTAAAAAGCATTATTGGACAAAAAAATTTTGTTATTGGTAAAAATCGCTTTTTTGCAACGAAATAACCAATCTATTTCAAATTTTTTTGTACTTTAGGATGTTTGCCACTAGAGAGGCATTACTTTAATTTTCATTGTATTTATTATGGCCCGATATTTTACTTAAAAATTTGCTGTGTTTACATATATTTCACACATATTAAACATTTATAACTCATGGGAACATTTTATTTCTTCACGCTCATCCACCTATCGTTTCAGCAAACCCGGCGCTCAGCTATAGACTTAACGTTACCGATGCGCGAGTATTTACTTACTTGGACGATATTGTTTCGTCTGTTACCGTAGAAGTACACCCATTGATTTATTGCTGCAATGTTGACGTACCAGGATGGAAATCTTCGGCCTGTTGCCCAGTGAAACTTGTAAATATCGACAGCTAAAAAGGTACATATGTATTCTTTTACTTTAATTTGTGAAATAATTTATTTTCTAAGTGATCTCGGCTAAACACCACTTATCTCCTTAAGAAAGCTTCCGACGCTAAATCTTGCTGGTTTTTTAATCTAAGTTGAAGTACCACAAAAATCATTGGTGATTGAAAAAAATCAATAGTGTTGTCTAGTTTGAACAATGAGTTGCTAACAATTAATAATGATTGAGTGTTCTGTATTGCCTGGTTATTACATTTGCTCCAAAATATTATAAAAATTGTCAATTATTCAAGTCTTACGTGTATTTGGAACGTAAAAGACCAAATTTGGAGTTGGCAATTGTAGGATAGCAGGGTCAGATACTTCTGGACATCGATCAGTGCAATTTATGGAAGTGTAGCAAGCCCTCACAGTAATATCTTGATCAAGCCGAGATCGAAACTATATGAAAAATAGAAAAAAAAAACATTATTTTATATTGTAAAATGACAAGAAATCGACGCAAGAGTATAAGGACACA